TTCGAAAATGCACTATCTCAAAATCTGAGCGCAGGATGCAATCTGAGCCGCAGGATGCATCAGATCCGACGGCTAGATTTTATTCTCATTTCTCTCCACAAGATGCATTCTCACGGGAACCGGCCCCTATATATATATATATATATATATATATATATATATATATATATATATATATATATATATATATATATATATATATATATATATATATATATATATATATATTATATGTGTGTGTGTGTGTGTATTTATATATATATACTCTGGAAATTAAATTTTACCCGAGTACCATTTTAGAACATATTCAGTTTAACTACTTGAATTATTATATCGTTTCAGATGAAACATATTACCTCGTTTACTTTTATCATTTTACATTCTCTTAAAAAAAATTCGATAACACTATCCCCTGACCCTCGTACTAATTAAGAGGCTTCCAGTCGTTTTGATTTATGCCACCTATGAAAAACATCATGTTATAAGAAACCATTTATGAAATTACTCTTAAAACAAATACTTCTGTATTTTATGGATTTGATTTTATAATATCAAGAATATGTCATACCTAGTAATTGTTTTGTTCATTCTAATAAATGTATACACTCCACAATTGATGTTGATGCTAGATTTGCAAAATTAAATGTCTTCAATATATAATTTGATTAAATCCAACAATATGCCATTTATCATATTGAAATGAAACCAAGACCATTGATTACATATGGAGCAGGTATTAGTCCAATGAAAATCTTGAAAATATTTGTGCGGTGTTGGGATAGATGCCCATATACCTCGCCATGCATGCATGCATGCAAATGCCCCATATAAATACGTGTGAAATATACATAATGTATTTTTGATCCTCCTCTATATATACGTGTGCATAGAGTATATGATCCTTTATGTACATAACATAATAAAGGTATATATATACATTTTCAAGATCATCTTTGCCTCAATTCCATACCGACGATAAATAACGTATAATTGAAGCATTCACGCCGTGGTGGATCAAGACCAAATTAATCAAAACAATTTAAACAAGTTTTTTGGGTATGTATTTATATAATTATATCTAATAATAGTTATTATTCAATCTCACATATTTAATATAATTCGATCCCCTCATACATTTATTACATGAAGGTTATTAATTTTTTTTGGGTATATATCTTTTTATTATTGTGTATAAATGATAATATCTGTCGTTGTTGTATACTCACAACAAATCATATTAAAAATACATAGTAATATTTTTTAGAGATACATATGATACACATAATTATTGAATTTTAAATTTATGTTTTCTTGTTTTGAAAACGTTCAAGATTTTTTGTTAAAAACAAAAAATCCAAACTTGTAGTTGTTGATTTGATGGTTTTTGCATGACATGCAGGTCATTGGTTATTTAAACAAACAATTAAATTGAAACAAAGAATGGAATACTGGAAAATCATGAACAATCTTTTTCTTGTCACGACCATGGTACTAGTGGCGTTCATGGTAACCGGTCCGGAGGCGGCGGGCGACGCGGAGACGTCGTCAAAGAGGAAGCTGATCGTGGTGACAAACAACCACACGAGCTACCTGAGCCTCAGGTGCTTCTCGTTCGACAATGCCTTCGACGTGCAGCACCTGAACTCATGGGAGCAGTTCAAGTTCATGGTGGATGTTCGTGTGGTTTTCCCCTCAGCCACCATGTGGAACTGTTCCACTAACATGGGCACGTTCGTGGCCTTTCGCCACGACTACGCCTGCAGCAACCACCCGTCCAACACGTGTCAGTGGAGGTTCGACGAGCACATGACCTATGTTTATGACCCCACGGTGGCCCTTTGGGTTGCCGTGGAGTACAACCCTAACTATGAATCACTCAATAGGGGTGGTGTTATAAGAGGGTATTATGTGAATTAGTCAATCCAAAGTCTTGGTTGTGTGTATTATTAAATTTGTAATTAAGCATTTTACAAATCATATTGTCAAATGTATATTCAAATGAGATCTGTATATATTGTTTTTTTTTGCTCTAGTTTTTAATTGGGGAAATGAAATCTTTTTTTCTTCTCTTAATGCATTGCAAAATGTCCGGATTGTGACCCTAACATATTATTTTAGTCGTATCTACTTATAAACCTATGACAAATGTTTGGAACTTGTTGACAAAAGTGAGATTTGTAAAGAAAATGGAGATTATGACGAGTAGTAATTCGAAATTACCCAAAGAAAAAGATATGTGCAAACAAATGACAAATATAATTTTAACTAGATGAGTTTTAGGGCATGAATATCCAGGCATACAAAGAAAACAAATGGAAAAGTGTTAAATTGGGCTGGCTTTGTACTGGTTTTCTATGTGTATAGTACAAACTAACGTCTTCTATTTGTTTTTCTTTGATCTGAATGCCTAGAGATTTACAATGATCTAATTATATATCTGCCATTTCTTTGCATATATCTTTCTCTTTGGGTAAAATTACACAATTTTTTGCTCGTATATGTATATAATGTTCACGGACTTGCCCGTCTACCACCGTTCACGGATTACAAACTTTAATCATCAATTGAATAAATATCACTCCGTACATTTATATTAAAAACACTTCACAAACCAAATCTAAATAGTTTTTATTTAATTGATGCTTAAGATTTATTGAAATGGACTGCTAAAAGTATACATAGGAACATATATAGTTGAAGGTAATGATGTGAAATTACAAAAAGAGAATAGGGCATTACCAAAGCGCTCACATGTTTTCGAATGGGTTCCTCATTAAAGAGAATTGGGGGGAGGGGGGGGGGGGAACCATAACCCCAAGAAAGAAAGAAAAATCAAACTAGTAACAGATAGCTTTAATAAATCAGACTGATCTACACAAGAGGAATCAAAGGCACCAAAACCCAGCCTTATGGCATGAAATAAGTCTAAACTCTTTTAGATGATGGAGACTATTTCTAAGAAACTCCGCGCTCGAGCAACATTAAAAAGCACACAAAGCACAAACACAAAATGAAAAACACTGACAAGAAAACCGAAGGAATGTGCCTCGCTGCTTTACACCATCCACACAATTGTACACACTGGGATATACAATATACTTAAGAATTTAAGAAACTTAATCAATAAATGTGGGTTTTATTTCACAAAAAAGAAGAGGAATTTATAAATGTTTTGTTGTAAATCTAATAGCGCAATTGTGTGACACACACAAGGGCATGACTTGTCCTAATGCTAATATACTATGCATCGTCGGCCTCCAGATTTGGTTTAATTGCGGATTTCAATTCTACATGCGAAACTCTGACAGCAGACAAGATCCGCTCTGGCAAATCTTCAGGGGTGTTTCCCTGTCCATTAATGCCGAACACATCATTACAAGTTTACAACAGGTTATCATCATTCCTATTTCACACACATCTTATTTTTTAAATAAAAAAGCTGAGTGAGTACCTGTATAAGAAAAGCCATGTCAACCACTAGGGCTGAAATCAAACCGGTCACGAGCCCCAGAACTCCGGTTGCCACAGTGGACGAACCAATATCAACATCAATCTGGAAAAAAAGAACAAGCAATAGAATGAACATTGATACTGATGTGTGAATCTGCGCTCAATCAAACTCTTTTAAGACTTTAAGTATCTAGACATATATGCACATTGAATGCTCAAATAGATGCAATATTCTCAAGGCAATAGTTTTTACTTCCAAATACTTGGGACCTCGGATGTAGTTGCAATCAACCGCCTTTCCAAGCAAGCAAGGGGAGGTTCCAACACTCTGCCGTACAATCCATGAGCCCTGAACCAATAACATTCACAATAGGGTGTCATGGTTTTACTAGAGTTCAACGACAAGGATCGAGTGTTATTACAGCCTACATTGTTTTAATAAGCAAAAAAGATCCAAAAGGCTCAAGTGGGTTGCAAAGAAAGCCAAGTTCGATAGATTGTGATCCTATGCAAAATAGTGGAGCACAAAATGACAAATAGATAATTGCCAGCCAAGCCAAATCAAAGCATCTAATCTCTTACCATTCAACAACCCAATGACCACATGTGGAATCTAGGAAGTGGGTGTTTGCAGACCTAATTCCTATCTAATAGGTAGAGAGGTTGTTTCCTAATCTCTTGACATAGTTAATTGAGTCAGCTAGAGATTGGATTAGATAACATCACCTCTACCTATATGTACGCAGACCTTACCGTAAATTTTTTGAACGGAGCACTGTAGGGCCCCCGGGTCATCCCATGACATTGCTAAGCAATGTCATGGAAACAACCCCCTAACAATACTAGCAACAGTATACTCCTTCAACCCCTATTTAATTTACCTAGTTTGACATTACCCAGATTAAGAAAAGCGAATTGTGTGATTGAGAATCACTTTGAAATGAAAGAATCTATTTGGACCACATGATTTTTTAAATAAAAGATAGGGACTGAACAAAAAACATGGGAAATTAAAAAGGAACAAACCAAGTGTACAACATATACACGGAAAAATTTTGGATGGCAACTCCGTGCATGAGTACTATTTTTATAACTCAAAATTAAATGCTCACATGTTTTATTGTAAGCATTAAATGCAGGCCAAAATGACTGTAATTATTTGATCTTGAACCTAACATGGATGTCTACTTTTTTAATTTTTACAGTACGAATTGATACTGCATCCATTGAAAAGGCCGAGGGAAACAATTCCTACTATTGTAATACCAGCACTCCAGCCAGGAGCAAGAAACCTAGTAAAATTGTGAGGGATCAGATAGATAAGAGAACAAATACCTTGGGCACTGATGGTATTAGTTTTAGTCTACTATTGCGAAACTCATCATCCCCATCAACAAATCGTTGTAATAGAGAACCAGGAACGAGAGATTTAGTGACAAGATAGAAAACCATGCTGTAATGTGTTGATGCAGGTACCTTCATGAAGAAAAATATCATCCTTCAATAAAATATAATGACAGGAAAAAAACTGATACGCCGTAATATCAATTGAATCAACTCACTTGCAGATTTACAACCAAAGAGAAGAGCCCTTTTTCTGAAGCAACCTGGAATATAGAAATATTAAACTAGTAGTGACCTTGATTACACGCATCAATGATATCACCTTTCAAGACAGTTATATATAAAAATTGCTTCCGTGCAACAGAAAAAACTAATAAGTCGCCCACTTTAATATTAGTGGTGAATTATTTAATGTAATGTGTTTTGCACTTCAAATATAATTCCAAGCTGCATGAAAATCTATAGGTAGGTGTTGAACCCTAAACAAAGTTTCTGATCTATTGCATTTTACCATGGAAAAGTACATCCACACCACCACCACCATCCAGCACAAATAAGGTAAATATAAATGTTTTCCATTTTTTCCAATAAGAAATTAACAGTTCCCACTTTGTATTGAGTTAGCTTGCATGTGCTATTCACTTAAATAACATGGTGGTTTTAGAGAAGTGGAAGAGGAGGCACGGATGATCAAACAATGTTTAGAGCTTTATCAGCAAGCTTCGGGGCTGCAGGTTAATTTCCAGAAATCAGAATTGAACTTCAGCAGGAATACTTCTCAGACGGATAGAAGACATGTGTTGGAGGTGCTCCAAGTTAGGTTGTCCAAGGAAAGCGGCAAGTACTTGGGGCTGCTGTCAATAGTGGGAAGGAACAAGAAGGAAACTATTCAGTATGTTCAAGATAGGATTTGGGCAAAGCTTCAGAGTTTGAAGAACAAAACCCTATCACGGGTAGGAAAGGAGGTATTGATCAAGCCAGCGGTGCAAGCAGTCCCGAGCTATGTTATAACGCTCTTCCAACTACACATCACGATGTGTGATAACATCGAAAAAGTGGCTAATAGGTTTTGGTGAAGTTCAGGGGGAGACAACAGGGGGATTCAATGGATGTCATGGAAGTCTCTTAGCAGATCGAACATGGAGGGAGGCCTCGGATTTCGAAACTTACATACTTTCAACTGGGCGTTGTTGGCAAAACGGCGTGGAACCTTCTTGTGAGACCAGACTTTTTAGTCAGGCAGATATACAAAGCTCGACGATATTATGCCCGGACGGACTTCAGGGAGCGATGATTGGAAGTAGCCCGAGCTTTATATGGCGATCCTTACTGGAAGGAAGTGCTACGGTTGGGCTGTGTAAGGGGGATCGTTAATGGAAGAGGCACGCCCATTGGAGGTTCCCTATGGCTGCTCTGGGGAGATCCATTCATTTGAAGTGTGTTAGCGGCTAGATTAATTACTGGAAGTGGAGATCTTGATTGATCAAATTACACAAACATGGGACATGACATTGATTGAGTCCTTATTTTGCATGAAGATGCTACGGAAATTGGCAGGATCCCGCTGGGAAAAAACAATATGAAGACGGGTGGATGTGGAAGGAGGAACAGACGGAGAGCATTACAGTAAAGAGCGGATAGCAGTTAATGCGTAGGGGCCAGAAGATGCAAGCTACGTGTTCCGGTGACCTATGACAACATGTGTGGAAGCCCACCTCTTGAAGGCAGCTAGCCACAAACGGGCAAGTCACCAGGCAATGCACTACTGTCTCCTCAGCTAAGCAGCATGGACAGACTCCTGGTACTACAACATGTCGTCTGATCAGATTGGAGTGGGTAGCAGCTCGGGATGGTTCTTGGGGGACGAGTGGAAAGAGGGGAAACAGACAATGTAGATGGGTGACCCCTGCGGTGGGAGAGCTTAAATAAAACATGGATGCCAGTCTTAAGCTTGATACTAAGTAAGCACGGGTGGGAATGGTGATTCGTGATGAGTTCGGAAGTTTTGTTTGTGGGACATTGAAATGACTAGGAAAGCTGGAGTGGCGGAAGCAATGGGGATTCAAGAGGCACTTAGCTGGCTTAAAGAAGAATATGGGACACAGAAGATCACAGTGGAGATGGACAATCAGACAGTCTTTAAGACCTTACAGCACATTAGGGACAATGTAGATGGGTGACATCAGGGGTGGGAGAGCTTAAATGCAACATGGATGCCAGTCTTAAGATTGATACTAAGTAAGCACAGGTGGGAATGGTGATTCGTGATGAGT